GTAGCGCTAACTGTTACCTGGGTGATATGCTAACGGTTAGCAAGTTGAGCGCGTCTCTATCATTAACCAACCACTCGTACGCATTTCGAATTTCCAGTTTCCTATTGGACAGTGATCCCATTATCATTTTCTTGATTATCTTGATCAGGGATTTTCTTGTACGAAGGCAAGGATGAGCGCTTTTGTTATTTATCTGGATCCTGCTAACCATTAGCTGGTGAGTGTGACCAGACTATATGTAATGAAATTACATTATTGGATTTTCAAATAAATAAATTGACTAGAGCTGCCAGGATATTTTTAACATTTACTTTATTATCATTATGAGGTTATTTCAACCTCTTACGTATGAAGTATCATAATAGTCTTTTTGAAGTAACTTGAGAAGTTAATAAAATGAATATGAATGAACAAATAAAAACAATTATGATTTATCATAATAACTATATTTTAATAATGTCTATGATGATGTTAATAATGACGATGAAGATGATGATGATGATAATGATGATAGTGGAGATAATGATAATGAAGATGATGATGAAGATGATGATAATGATAATGATGATGATGATGAGGGTGTTGATGATCTTGACAACGATCATAAAAGTAATAATAATATAAGCTTTTATTTAATAATAATACGAATAATAATACTGTAATAACAATACTGTAATTATAATAGTAATATTAATAATAATAATTATTATTAATATTATTATTATTATTATTATTATTATTATTATCATTATTATTATTATTATTACACATGTAATAATTTTATTGTGCATTTACCATGTACCTTTGTTCATTCTTTTTGTACAGTACTCTAATTCGTATTTTAAATATTTTATATAGTATGTGTATTTATTTTTGACGTTTTTCATGAATTGTAAATTGTAAATTTAACAATGTTTACCTTGTTGCAAATAAAGAGATTTGAATTTGATTTGATTTAATAATAATGATACTAATAATAATAATAATAATAAAATTCTAAATATATCTGTCTTGCTTAATATAGTAAATGTTAGTTATCGATATAAAATCTAAAGTACTATACAATGCCCATCGGTATGAATAATATCCATGTTGATACATTATTTCGGTTCCTTGTTCTAAACACATCTTTGGCCTGTTATTTATAAAACCACGAATCGAAACCGATATTGTAATTTCCATTTTTACACACTATAGAAATTGTGTTGCATAATGCCACCGCACACTCACGTTGAGGCATGTCAACGCTTGCAGTATGTTGGTTTCTCCATTATTCATAATAATCTAGAAAAGTGACATGATGTTGACATATAAAACACACACTACAGTGTTGTAATATTATTCTCATTAATCACTATACCATTATGAACACATTTGTGGCCAATATAGAACTGTTTAATCTATCAATATTTATTTAATATGTTTATAATATCTAATAATTGTTAAACTAATCTTTATAAATACATTAATCTTTCATCGACGTCGTATTCAGCAAATATTTGGGTTACTTATAAAGTATACTCTTCTGAAAAATAATAATCATGATGGACAGGTTTAAGCATAGGTCTTGATGATGGCAAGAAGGACATTTTTGTAGTCGCCGCTGCAGTCGCCCTTCACAAACTGCTCGAGCGAACTGTTGTACTTTTCATTAAATCTCGTTTTGATCACACCCAGATCGATCTGAAAAAGTAAATATCAACACAGAAATTAGCTTACAAGGCCATATCCATGACTGCCATTGGGAAGAGGGCGCGAGTGCGTCAACATAAGGCAGGGGGTCAGAGCCGGTAGGAGTCTTTGATTTTTCATTAGGCCTATTATGGCAACTTTAATGTCCAAATTCTATATAGTCATAGATTGTTAGTTAAAATTCTAAGTAGATTTGGTAGTGAATTCCATTCATTTATTGAGCGCACAGAAAAAGCATGTCTGCGAACCTCAAATCTGAATAAAGTAGGCCTGGATACCGTTCTGACATAAAGCGTAATGAATGGTTGTGGGACTGAAAGAGGTAATGATAAGACAGCATTATAGAAGAAAGAGCGGCTTAGCTCAGCCGGCTAAACTGGTGGTAGCCACTGCAGTGTGTGTGTGTGTGCTGAATCTCGGAACCTCTTGGTCTCCGGTTCAATTCCTATCGCTGCTCTCTGGAAGGCTGAAATGTAAGTTAGAATAGTTCACTGTCTTTCTGATGAGACGTTTAAGCCGTTGGTCCCTTGTGCATTAATGGCCCATGTGCACGTTAGAGAACGCAGCACTCTCTTCGGAAAAGGGAAAGGGATTGTCTCCTGGCGTACTGCCCAATCACCACCAGAAGGACACCACTGGAAATACTGTAAGTCTTCTTCAGACTTTCGTGGATTGTCCTTGGTGTTTACACAGAATAAATCCATTTATTATTACTCAAAAGTTTCATTAAGCCTACTGTCGTAACGTTTTCCAAATGTCACTATCCAAAAACAACTAGGCCTACATTCAAACTAATAAAAACCAATTTTCAAGTTTCAACTTCTTAAAAAGAAATTATAAATAAAAATTATAACGTTAGAGGTTATCAATTGTTTTTATAATTTTCACGAGAGTACAAAACGTACTATTTTCAGTAACTTCTTCCCTCTCCCTGAAGGAGTACACCATAACAATTTTATGATGATATTGGTCCTTTTCAGATCATCGTATTATCTTATTAATAAGAGTACATGTACCTACACCGATACCCTCTCCACTCTCACCCCCGCCTTCCGTATTGCACTCTTGTGAAAATGATGATAATAATGAATGGTCCCTAATCTATAAACAGTAGATTAGTTCGGTGTTATTCGGGCTTACCTCGGATCTTGTGACGACGACCCGAATGAGTCGATCGTCGTTAGTGCCCAGTCCTTTCATCGACTTGTACAGACTCTCCGCGTAATAATCAGTGGGATCATTGCTAGATTTAGCTATCAAATATAGATCATTGATTATTAATATAATTCAAAAATTTGCTGCTTTTGTAAAGTTTATGTAATGAATGCTTTCTATGTACTGTATTATAATGTGTTACCTTTGGGACTTTGAGTTTTGTTTGTATGAATATGTATTTATATATTTGTATATTTATTTGTATTTTTATGTATATGCAATTTTACATTTCTAAATTTTTAATATTCTTATGGTGTCCTTTGTACAGTATTTTCATTGCTTTTTTTTTACATAATCAATATCGTGTTTTCTCCGTCCTTTTTTGAAATGTTTATATATATGCAATATATCTTAAAATATTTTTTTTAATCCAATTTAATAATGTTTACCCTGTAATAAATTATTAACTTGTAGAGTATTTTTAATATCTTTTATATTTAAGACGTCCTGTAATTGTCTTTATAGTAGCTGTAGGATAATGTTTAAAATAAAAATAAAATAAATGGTTTATTTTTCTAACGATGAATTGGCACACAAAATATTATCATAATTAAGAGTATTTGGTATGATTATTTTACAATAGTTTTTAATTTGTTTTTCTAGTTAATAATATTTATTTATATTTTATCCATAGCGTATAACGTTAATAATTTATGATATCATAAATAGCAGGCCCGTAACTAGGATTTTTTTTTAGGGGGGGGGGGTTCAAATTTGGAAAAGGTGGAGCCTTTTGAAGATGTTAATGACCAACCAATTGCGCTGACCACATAAATAAGAGTTCCATCTTGAAACTTGTATTAAAAGTTGCTACTGTCTATAAAGATTATTTGAACAGGATTGTTCTTTTTTTTTTTCAAGTTTAAGCAATCTTCTTTCGAGATTTTTTATTTTTTTGCCATCCAAGCGGAGCCAGCTCTGTCTCTTATACACATCTAGATGTGTATAAGAGACAGGTGTGAATGTAGAGGTAGGATAATGTTTGAAATAAAAATAACATAAAATAAAATAAATGGTTTATTTTTCTAACGATGAATTGGTACACAAAATATTATCATAATTAAGAGTATTTGGTATGATTATTTTACAATAGTTTTTAATTTGTTTTTCTAGTTAATACTATTTATTTATGTTTTATCCATAGCGTATAACGTTAATAATTTATGATATCATAAATAGCAGGCCCGTAACTAGGATTTTTTTTTTAGGGGGGGGGGGTTCAAATTTGGAAAAAGTGGAGCCTTTTGAAGATGTTAATGACCAACCAATTGCGCTGACCACATAAATAAGAGTTCCATCTTGAAACTTGTATTAAAAGTTGCTACTGTCTATAAAGATTATTTGAACAGGATTGTTCTTTTTTTTTTTAAGTTTAAGCAATCTTCTTTCGAGATTTTTTTTTTTTTTGCCATCCAAGCGGAGCCAGCTAGCAAACGGCGGGGTTCGTCCGAACCCCC